CACATTACGTAAAAATAATGCATTATTGACCACACCGAATAATTTTTTGAATTGAATTAGGTAAATTCTTACAAAGTCAAGTCTCTATATTTTTTTAAGGTGCTTCTGAACGTTCCTGAATTATTTTAAGTGCTTACTAGATTCTTATATATTTTTGAAAATGCTTCATATGTTCCTGAATTATTTTTAGTTCTTAACGGGTCAATATACTTTCTAAAGGACGCTTTAGTAGTCCATTCAGTTACATTTTCAGATCAAGTGCACGGAAATTGTTTGAGCAACACGCGCTTGTTTGAAAATTTATGATATAACGTCAACTCTTACAATAATTTCAAGAAACTTGGTGTGAAAAAAGCCGCTGAAGAGACCACTCACGCACCAATTACAAAGAATAAAAACACTAAAAATAATTTAGAGACCTATGAAGCACTTTCAAAAAAAATATAAAGACCTTGTAAGCACTAAAATAATCCAAAGAGTTGGGAAACACTTTCAAAAAAATATAAGAATCTTGTAGACACTTTACCCAATATAATTTCATAATGATTTATTTGGGTAACAGTTAAATGGGATCGGAGTATTATGTATTTATGTATATATTTTTTACCTTTTCATTTTAATTATTTGAAAAAAATGCTTGAAATGAGTTTTTTTATTTAATTTTTATCATATAACATTGGCTTTTTGAAAATTTAGGGGCGGTGGCCCGAAAACTCGTACTCCCTCCATCCCTAAAAGATCTTCTCCTTTCATTTTTTGTTATCCCAAAAAGATGTTCCCTTATACATTAAAAACTCACTTTTACCCCTTACTTTTCCATACCTTACCTATCACATCATACTTTTTTACTAATAATTTATCCATCACATCTTGTTTTTACTATCACATCAAGAATATTTTTAGAAAATCAACACAAAAATATCCCCAATTAATTTTTCAAAAGGTCAATAAGGAAACCCCATTCAGAAACAGAGGAAGTATCAATTTTATTTAATTAATTGCCCAAGTTCATTAATTTTAACGGTAAAGATTTAAAATAAACAAATAACCGGAGTACAAGAGAGTTAGAAAATAAGTTGACTTCGCATTATTGAGTCAACTTCCATTATACATGATTGACATTGTTTGTACGAGGCACACAAAAAATGTTGGGGACATTTTTTCCTGACGCGCTTTCGTTTTTTGTTACTCTTTTCAGTTACCCATAAATACGGAGTTGAGTAAAATAAGAAAATGGTACTCTTTTTTTTTTGAAAAAAAATATGGTACAATTATTTGCCCTACAAACACTCCGTATGTTTTGACTAAGATACAACATTATTAAGGTTGTTACCTTTATTTTAAAAAATAATAAAAAAAGAAAATATTTCTGTATGTATTGAATTGTGTTGTGAATACAAGGATCTAACCCTCTTTATGTAGGGAGAGAGTAAAGCCAACAAGGAAACTTTTGTTCCTACTAAAACAAGAAGTAAACAAACTAGGAAAGATACTAAATCAAATCGTAAAGGGATTTGGTTTCCTCCTAATGTCTCACGACAACAAAGACTATCGGTACCATCCGGCTTGGTCCATAGTCTGATCTAGTTCTATCATAGTCCCGAAATTGGCGCAGTGCATTTTTTATTAAAAAAATCAACATAGCACAATGATGTTTGGTGATATATTTTAATCACGTACTTCCTCCATCCCGCAAAACATTTCCTATTTTGGCTTTTTGGACGGAAAACTGTAGAAGTTTGAACAAAGTGAAACGACGAGAACTGAAACAAGTAGGGATTGAAAAATGTCAAAATGGATAGGGCGTAGAAGGTATTCCTTAAGGTAGGTTATGATAGATTTAATGTTACCCCAATTGGTAACGTACGGCGGTTTTGGGAAGGGGAAAAGAGACGTGAGGTGAGGGAAGAGAGAAAGTAAAGATTGGTTGAACTTCTTTTTGTTATTCAATACCAAATTAATACCCATATTTATAGGTAAACGAAGTAACCCAATCCTAACACAACTAGGTTATCTATGCTGTCGGTTCAACAAAAGCGTCAAGGGAAAGAACCGAAAAGAAAATCCTTGAAGGAGCTTATATCACGCTCACCTAAAAAAATCTAACGTACAATAATTAATCAAATAAAAATAATAAAATCTTCCATGGAAATATCAAACATAATCGTCAAAACGCCTTGGGCGCCGCCTCGTCCTCTTGGGCCGTGTGGTATGGACTGGCGTTGTTGTGGCATCCGTAACATTCTCCCCCGGATCGAGAAGCAACTTGTCATCAAGTTGAAGGTTAGGAAACGACTTCTGAATAGACTCCACCGGCTCCCACGTAGCATCCGTCAAGTCTCCATCCGTCCAGGTGACCAACCATTGTTCTTGGGGCACGCCATGCACCAAAACTGTGCGTGCACCAACCGCCGCTGTGGGCGTTGCAATGGCCCCTCTCAAAATCACGCGGCAGACTACCAGGCGACGTAGGGGCAACCTCTGAGTGATAAGGCTTCAATAAGGAAACGTGAAACACATTATGGATACGAGACCCCTCTGGCAACAGTAAGCGATAAGCCACAGCCCCAACTCGTTCAAGCACTTGAAACGGGCCATAATACCGATGTGATAATTTTGCCGAAAGAGGTTTTGCAACTGAGGACTGACGGTACAATTAAGTTTTAACAAGACCCAATCCCCAATGGCAAACGAAACCTCTCGGCGATGGCGGTTTGCCTGATCCTACATGCGTTGCTGCATCTTGCGCAAATTGTCACGCAACTCCCCTAACAGCTGAGCACGTTCCGTCAACATGTTTGACCACGGGGCTTCGACTAGAAATTGGCTGCGTAGGAATCAACGGTGGAGGATGACGCCTGTACAGTGCCCGAAACAGGGAAGTTTGGAGACCTTCATGATAGGAGCAATTCAAGGACAGTTCAGCCCATGGAAGCAAATTAACCCACTTAGTCGGCCGGCTGCTCGTAAACACCCTCAAGTATTGCTCCAGTCCACGATTCAAGACCTCCGTTTGGCCATCCGTTTGCGGGTGATAAGCCGTAGAGTGCTTCAACGTTGTCCCACTAAGCTTAAACAATTCTTGCCAAAACGTACTCATGAAGATGGGATCGCGATCGGACACGATAGTTGATGGCATGCCGTGGTGCTTGACGACGATATCAACGAAAAGTTTGGCCGTCTGGGGGGCATCAAAATTGGACGGCAAAGCCCCAAAGTGGGCGTATTTGGTTAGCCGGTCGACCACCACTAAAATCACCGAATGCCCCTGTGATGGGGGAAGACCCGTAATGAAATCCATTGAAAGCTCGTCCCAAACCTGGATAGGAACTGGTAACGGTTGAAGAAGACCCGGTGTTTTTTGAGTCGAATACTTTGTCACTTGGCAAATATGACACGTCTTCACATAGTGCTGTACGTCCTTGCGCATACGGGGCCAGTAGAATGTCGCTGCAAGGCGACGAAAAGTGTGATCTGCACCCATGTGTCCAGCGGCCAGCAAAGAATGGTATTCAGCCAAGAGCTGCATGCGCAAGTTGGAAGAAGAACTGATGCAGATCCGGTGTTTAAAGTACAGAAGGCCATCTTGAATGGAGTATGGGGGAAGTAGAGCCCCCCGCGGTGCCACCTCATGAAGGGCTCGGAGATCTTCCATACTTTGGTTTTCACTACGAATCACGCTGAGAATATTGGCCACTGGTTGAGCATAAGTGACGAACAAAGAGGGGTCAGGCGGTGTCTCTTATCGTCGAGAGAGGGCATCGGCGACGCGATTAGCGCTGCCCGGTTTGTACTCAATTTTGAACTTGAAGCCCATTAACTTCCAGATGTAAAATGGTTGGTCGGGCGTTTGAATGACCTGAAGAAGAAGTTCCCGCAAACTCTTTTGATCACTCCGAATAGTGAACTCCCGACCCAACAGATACTGCCTCCACTTTTGAATTGCTTCCATAATTGCATAAAGCTTCTTGTGGTATGTCGACGAGACACGACGGCGCTGCCCCAATTTTTTTCTAAAAAAAACGATGGGATGACCGGCTTGTATCAAAACGGCTCCGATGACTTCGGCTGATGCATCCGTTTCCACAATAAACGGCTTGGAAAAATCCGGCAGATGGAGCACCGGAGCTTTGGTCATGACCTCCTTTAAAGTTTGGAAAGCGGACTCCGCCTCGGATGACCAGTGAAAAGCGCCTTGTTTGAGAAGGTCGGTCAAGGGAGACGCGAGAGTGGCGTACCCCTGAATGAAACGACGATAATAGCCGGTAAGCCCCAAAAATCCTCGTAACTGCGTGACGGTGGAAGGGACTGGCCAGGCAGCCATGGCCTCTAACTTTGACGGGTTGGCCTTTAATACGCCATCGGAAATTAGGTGGCCTAAGTACTCAATTGTGGTGCAACAGAACGAACACTTGGAAAGTTTAACATAGAAACGATTGTCCCGCAATAACCGAAGTGTGGCCTCCAGGTGGGAATCATGTGCCTCAAGGGTCGAAGTGTACACCAATATGTCATAAAAAAACAATCACAAAGTGGCGCAAATATTGGCGAAACAATTCATTCATGGCCGCCTGAAAAGTTGAAGGTGCGTTCGTGTGCCCGAACGGCATGACCAAGAACTCAAAGTGGCCGTCATGGGTTCTAAACGCGGTTTTGGAAACATCATCCTGGTGCATCCGTATTTGATGATATCCAGAGTGAAGATCCAATTTGGTGAAGAAACGAGCAGCCCCAAGTTCATCAAAAAGCTCGTCCGTGGTAGGTATCGGAAAATGATCGGGCACCGTGGCATTGTTGAGAGCTCGATAATCCATACAAAAATGGAAAGTACCGTCTTTCTTGCGGACGAGCAAAACGGGAGATGAAAAAGGACTTTGACTCGGTTTAATAATTCCCTGTCGAAGCATGTCTCGTACTTGACGTTCAATTTCGCCTTTCTGAAAATAAGGGTAACGATACGGCCGGACATTAACAGGCTTTGTTCCCGGATGAAGGTGTATACGGTGATCCCACATGCGTGACGGCGGGAGACCCGAGGGAAGCCGAAACACTTCTACATATTGGAGCAGGACTTGGCGGATCAGTGGGGGAACTGCCGGCAGGTTGTCTTCGGACAATGGGGGTCTGACTCCGTCTCCTGCAGGGCAAAGAACTCGTACAAATCAAACTCCGGCTCAGAGGTAGTGAGGGACTGGAAAGCCGAAAAGGACATCGACTTAGGCGCCGGAACATCCCCCTTTAAAACCACCAAAGTGTCGTTGCGTTGGAATTCCATGGTCATCGTGAAGTAATCGTGAGAAACTTTACCCAACGCTTGTAACCATTGGACGCCAAGCACTACATCGGGACCATGAACCGGAAGCAAATACAAATCAACGTCAAACTCATGTCCTTGCAAAATCAACGGACTCTTGGGACAATAGTAGGAACAACGTAGAGAATCGCCGTTCCCTACATATACCCGAAACGACGTTACCAGATGCAAAATTAAGCACAGGCGTTCCGCGTGGGTCGGGTGAATGAAATTATGAGTGCTACCACCATCAATCAATACCTGAACCGAAGATCCCTTAATAGACCCTACAAGTCGTATCGAACGGGGATTAGGAACCCCGGACATAGTGTGGATACTCGAGACGTCCCCCGTAATAAGGGAATTGTCCTCTAGCACAGCGGGCGTAGAAGGATCAGTTGGCTCCTCATCATCGGTGCCCAAGAGCGCCAGAAACTTGTGTGCACAGCGGTGACCCGGGACATACTTCTCTTCGCAATTCCAACAGAACCCTTTGCGAGTACGCTCGGCGCGTTCAAAAGGTGTAAGACGAATAATGGGCAGGGACGTCGATGGTTTGGCGCTGCTGTTTTCGGGGGAAGAAACCTGTGGCGGAGGGAAACTGCCCACTGCGCTGGACTGCCATGACCGTCTGACTTGCCCCACCGGCGACGTGCATGTAGCCAGTTCACGCGCTAATGCAAAAGTTTCGGCCAACGTCCCCGGGTTACGTAGATTCACTTCACGCTGAAGAGGTTATTTGAGGCCACCTTTATATATGGAAACAAGAGTGGATTCCGGAATCCCCGAAACTTTGTTAAGTAAACCCTCAAACGCTGTTTGATAGGCCATGACGGACGTGGTTTGTTGTAAGCGAGAGAGAATACTCACATAATGGGCATAATGGTCCGGATCGAATCGTTGTTTAACCGCTTGTAAAAATTCCACCCAAGAACCACCACTAGAATTTGTCATATAGTAACGGAACCATTCTGAAGCCGAGTGATCAATAAACATACCCACTAACTGTAGACGTTCGGTTTCGGACGTCGTAAAATAATCGAAATATTGTTGTATCCGGAATATCCAACCCACCGGATCCTCGCCGTTAAACCGTGGAGGGTCGATGCGCAAGCGGGGCTGGCGATCGTTAGAATCACTCCGTCCAGCTGTGCGTGAAGGAGGGGGCTGCCAACGGCCGTCGAAAGGAACGTGTTTAGGACCGCCCGTCCCGGTAACATCACCACCAACCTTACCAGCCAAGGCATCCAGCCGTTTGTTGGTATTGTTGAGCTCCAAACCGAGATTCTGGATAGCTTGCATGATAGTAGTGAGCGGCAAGGGAGTCTCAGAATTCTTGCCGGAATCGGAACTCATCTTCGTTGGAACGTGGTTGAGTTCGAATGGAAGCACCAATGTTACCCCAATGGGTAACGTACGACGGTTTTGGGAGGGGGAAGAGAGACGTGAGGTGAGGGAAGAGAGAAAGAGAGAAAGTAAAGATTGGTTGAACTTCTTCTTGTTATTCAATACCAAATTAATACCCATATTTATAGGTAAAAGAAGTAACCCAATCCTAACACAACTAGGTTATCTATCCTACCGGTTCAACAAAAACGTCAAGGGAAAGAACCGAAAAGAAACCCTTGAAGGAGCTTATATCACGCTCACCTAAAAAAAATCTAACGTACAATAATTAATCAAATAAAAATAATAAAATCTTCCACGGAAATATCAAACATAATCGTCAAAACGCCTTGGGCGCCACCTCGTCCTCTTGGGCCGTGTGGTATGGACTGGCGTTGTTGTGGCATCCGTAACATTTAAGGAAAGTAAAGGTAATTGTATCCATTCAAACCAAATTGAAATGTTTTATAAGACAAGTAAAATGTGAAAATAAAAAAGTTTTATGAGACATAGAAAGTAGTACAGTGGTGCTTAATGGTCTAAGACTATGTATGTTAAGAGTAAGAGGTACAGAGTAATACTTTTATACAAGTAGTAGGATATTAGCACAATATGATAATATTATGACAAAATAGATATGTCTAAGTTAGAGTTTAATGAACGATCGAGTGCTTTAGTTGTGAAATACTTTAAATCTTTAAGTGTAAGTGACAAACATAACATGTATTTTCGTTTTCAAAGACTTATTTTTAAATTTTTTTAATAGTAGTGAGCTACTATATTAATTATTAAGTTAAATTATCAAATATGTTGATGTTTGGACTTGTCTTTTTGTCCTTAGTATTCCCAAGTCTCAAATCTCTATTTACGTTATCGTATTCTCTTACTTTGTTTGCATGTAATGAGCAATAATTTATATTTATAATTACTTATTAAATCTTACACTAATAGTTAGTATTTTTTTAATTTTCTTAAACTTGTCTTTCGATGATGAATCTATTCGACCAATCCTAGTCTTTTGATCGGTCTTCTAGCTATTTTGGATCGGTCCAAGTCCTCTACAGGTCTTTCACTAGTTTCGGACTCAAGGTTGTACCCAAGAAATTAAGGTCTGGCTTGAATAACACAAAGATATTTTGTAGAGATAATTAACATTACAGACACACACACACAAGTGGGCACCCCTAAAAATTTGGGCCTTGCTTGAATTAGTAATACTTTTCCATACAAAGGATCATTTTAAACGACTGATCGTGTTTCAGATTTGTCACAAGGACTAGTTCGGTCCGAATATTTAATGTCCCGATCGGAGTTGATCTCGATCGATCTTTGTGGTCCTAATCAATTTGCTCTTCTTTGTATCATGATAAAAGAATATTAATGAAATGATTTGATCTTTAATTTGACCTTTAAATCATCATTATATTTGATCTTTAATGCTTGGAATATACCCCGCATGTGCATTTAAGTTTGGCATAAGTTATTAATGAAGTTAGAATTTGTTTTTTAGAATAGATGGAGTATTTTGATTGTTTGTTACGTTCCCATACTAATTGGATCTCGTCAATTTTTTAATTCTTTTGAAATTGGGTGATGACATATTCCCCCGTACTGTGCATATTTTTGTTTTGATTTTTTTAAATTATCTTGATTTATGAGGGAAAAAAACCTTAGATAAGTAGATTAATAGTGAATAGATATACACAAATTCTATGGTGGATCTAAAATTAACCGTGGACGTACATATAAGCAAAATAAGTATTTCTTGGTTACTTAAATAAACATTTATTTTTTTAAACAAAAAATCAATTTTTTTATATGAGAAGGTCCACAAAAATGATTTGCACCCAAGGTACACCAAATAAGCACTCATAGATACTCCCTCCGTCCCTGAAAGAAGTTCCCCTTTTGTTTTTTCTTTTTCCCCAAAAAAACTTCGCTTATCTATTAAAAAAATCATGTTTACCTGCTTACTTTTTCATACCCTACCTATCACATAATACCTTTTTACTATTAATCTACATATCACATCTTACTTTTACCCATCACACCAAGAGTATTTTTGGAAAGTCAACACAAAAATATCCTTCTCTTAAATCCTCAAAAGATCAAAAAAAGAACTTTTGGGGAGGAGGTAGTATAATGTGATATGTAGGACAAAAATAATAAGAATAAAATTTATTTTTTAAAAGAAAATAGAAAAATGTTTTGGAACGAAAAAGGGGAATTTTTTTTAGACAGAGGGAAGTATATTTTTCTCATCTACTTTTAATTTTTTTTTCATTTTTGTATACCTCGTATATCTTTGTAATAATTTAAAGTCCATAAATAATTAAACTTTAGGTCCATCAAAGAAGTACTCACGTATGTAATTATTTAAGGTTTGGAGTATGTGTGTGTATTTTTTTGTGCACTTCTTATTTAGTAATTTTAATTTCATTTTAGCACTGAGTGTTCTAAATGTGCCAATACGCACATGATGTATGTACCTTTTTGTCTAAAATAAATGTCATTTTACAATTAATATATAAAAATTATCTTTAATTTAATTTATACGAAGTATAATTATTGGTTTTACTCCGTATATTCTAAAACAAAATTTATATGTTTAAAGAGTATATTTGAAAAAAAAATTATTATAAAACAAAAATGACAGTAATAACCAAACAAAGCCAAAAAAAGAAAAAGAGAGAGAAAGACGCCCTAGTAAGAGCAACTCCAAAAAGGATATGTTTATTGAGAAGGTATTTCACAATAAAGCATTTTACCTTTTGTGTTGAGAAGGTAATTAAAGATATCCCTCAAAAATTGAAAAAGGTAAATATTTTCTACTCCTATCCCAAAATATTTGTACATTTGTTTTTTCAACAGGCACGGAAATTTTTATTTATTTTTACATTTTTATTGAATATTTGATAAAATAAAATATTGTTGAGAGCTTTTATTTTGAAAATTTTTTTATGTATTTTTGAAACGTGTAATTTTTTTAAATCTATACCGATATGTAAATAAAATGAATTTAAAAATATAAATATTTTATCTTATTTTTTGAAATGTGGTAAATATTTACGGACGGAGGAAGTATTACCTTCGCAATAGAGAACAAATAATGGTGAAGAAAAGGTAAATATGGGGATTATTAATTACTCTTTATCTTTTTTTCCATAGGCCTCATCCAGACAATGGCTTCCAAATCGGGACCGAGTAATTAAATGTAATAATGTAGTATGAGGTGTGAAGAGTTACGCGCTCAGGTGGTGGGCCGGGCCTTCATTAAATTTATGTTGCATGGGCCGTCGTCAAATCATCCTTGTGAAAATGGGTCTCTTCATTTCTATGAATTTTCCTTTTGCGGAATGTAAATATTATGCGGAGTTTCCTTTTCGTTTTAATTTTGATATTAAAATTTGCGGCAAGGTTCTTTTGATCTTGGAATCTCGGGACATATTATGATCCGGATATAGAAATCACCCTAAATAGAACTAAAACATAGAAAAAAAATACGAAAATAGGATTTTTTTATTTTTTTCCTAAAATAAGACTTTGCACTGTGATAATGCGGTGCTGCACATGTGTACATTACTATTTTTTGGTAATGTACATGACCATGTTTGGTAATGTAAGTTCTATTTCGAGAATAAAAACATGGAAGTCTTATTTTGGTATATTTTCAATGTATTAGTCCTACTTTGGTCTTTCTCCCATCCAGATACCTACAGTGTTCCGTTCGTAAAATTGATAGTTCTTACCCCTCCTAACCCCTCTAAACCTTACATCTCTGCCACCTATCTATCCACCCCACCACAACACCCCATGCCCCCTTCTCAATTTCGTTGACTGGCTACAGTAGTGGAGATGGGGGCAGGAGGGGTACTTTGGTAGGGTGGGCAGGTAGGGGGCAAAGGATAGGATTTAGGAAAGAGATTAGGGGGGTAGGAATCATCGATTTTATGAAAGGAGTACCGTGGGTGTCCCAGGTTATAATATGATCCAATGTTCTAAGGTCAAAATAATCATGGTGTAAAATTTGAGAGTATCTATATTATAAAGGATTGTCATTATTTTGACTACACGGAAATATTAAGGTTTCCGTTCCAAAAGATGTTTTACAAGAAGTTTTAGGAGTATTGAATTTACTACTTCCGTTTTCTTTGATTATCCTCATTTGACAGTTTTGGTCAAATTTTTATAAATTTCATCACAAACTATTGAAAAAATTTAATACGTTGAATTGTAATATCAATTTAATGTCGATAAGTTAATTTTGAAACATATTTTTAAAATATCAAATTTTTATAATATGTATTTATATATAAATAAAAATATTACTAATCAAAGTATTACATTGAATTGGACAAATTTAAATGAGAAGAACCTAGGAGGACATAACTGTGGGCGTTTTTCATCTTTTTTAATTTAGATATATGAGAAAGTCGTGTATTACTTCCTCCGTCCCTCAAAACATGTTCTCTTTCTCTTTTATTATCCGTTACGTTCTAAAAAGATCTTTTCACTTTCTATATTAAAAAACTAGCGCACTTTATTTTTATGCATGATATCTTATTTTTGTCCATCACATCAAGAACATTTTTTTGAAAAATTAACAAACAATATCTCCCTTCTTTAAATCCATTAAATAAAAATCAAAAGGTGAAAAAGTTTTAAGATCGAGATCAATTGAATGCAATTTTCCATCTCCATATATAGTAGGTAGTATAAATGTTAGATGAGAAGTTATGTAGGAGGGAGGTTTACTTATATGGAAGGAATTGAATAAGGAATAATAAAGGAGGTGGTGAGATCTAGCTAGCTAGCTTAGCAGCTAATTAGATTAGGAGCCTATTTGGGAATAGCGTTAGAGATTAGCGTTAGCATTTTGGATAAAATTTTAACAGTTCAGATTACTTTGAGAATACTAACGATAAACGCTGACCGTAGATAACCTTTTCAAAACGTTAAGGCTAATCTCTAACGCTATTCCCAAACAGGCCCTAGGTTTGGTTGGGTTGCGCCATAATTAATGTTTGAGGGAAGCTCTGCTGTACGGGGGAGACAAGAAACAAATAATAAGCCATATGTATATGTGTGCACGGACTGCATGCACGCATGCAGCTGC